CAGCATATCTGAAGGGGTGAAAAGGAATAAGACACAGAAAAGAAGAGCGTGGTGGAGACAGTTGGATAAAAAGGGCAGGGAGAAGAAAAAATAAGGCAAAAATGGAAAGAATGGAAAACCACAGATACTGCATTTCTTGCAGTGGTATCATGAACTTGGAGAAACTTAAGCAGAGACAATGGTTGCATAAATACAAGCATTTTTTAAACTCTGGAAACATACTGGCTTCATCCTCACCGAAAGGGAGGGAAGGGAAAACTTAGTCAGGCCTTCAACACTTATTTTTATTTAATTAAATTTATATAGCCCAAAGGGGGTATGCGGTTCTGACCAGTTCTGGAGAACCGGCAGCAGAAATTTTGAATAGTGCAGAACTGGCAAATACCACCTCTGACTGGCTCCGCCCCCATCTATTCTCTGCTTCCTGAGTCCCAGCTGATTGGCTGGGACTTCTTTTGTTGCCCTGCACAGGAGAACGGAGCTGGAAAGCAGGTTAGTGGCATGGGGAGGGAATGGAGATTTTAGAGTATCCTTCCCCTGCCACGCCCACCAACCCATGCCCATCAACCTATGCCCACAGAACCAGTAGTAAAAAAATTTGAATCCCACCATTAATATCCATTGCATGAGGAATGACTATTACATGCAGATATATGTAATTATACTCAGATTAAACTATTACAGTCATTATTAATAAAGTTCTACTCAAACTTGTTGGATTCTGTTTCCTGGTCTGACTGAAACAAAGCCGTTACTGAATATAACCGCAGGTACACATTTTGTTTGTAGGGTCACAGTTTTTAAAATTGTTGGGCTTTTGTGTCCAAGCGGCTCTCATTATACAGCATTAAGCAACTTTTGTTCATCAAGAGGAAAACAAATTTTCTCAAAATCTCTCTGGTTATGAAAAAAGAACATTCAAGTTCTTGTAGGTTTTGGTTTTTAAGCAGTACCCATAAAGCTTTCCTCCACTGTGAAACTCAAAACAACCTATTCTAAGAGGCTATGGTATGCTGTGGTTCTGTCTCCATATCCAGATCTGCTTTAACTCAGGTCTAAAATGGCTACAATACATTATAGACTCTTGCACTATATCCCATGGCTAAGTTATGAACTGCAGTCCAGGATAAGACACCATAAAGTCAACACAGGGAGAAAAAAATTAAAAAACAAGGAAGCTTCTATTATTGTCTTATACCACAGCTATTACTCAATTATTACACTAAAAACTGAATACTATTTTGATCATAATTAATTACCCGGGTGAGTAGACTAACATATTATACAAAATAAGACATCCCTTGATTGTAACTGTACAGCACATAAACGTGATTAATGCTAATTCCTTTGTCATTTTTTTTTCTTATTTCATAAACCAGAGATGCTATAAAAAGTCTGCTTAAATGAACAGACAACCAAAATATATTGGAACAGCAGTCAAGAATTAGCTTGAACTGATTAAGTTATTGATTTAACTGCATTCATCAGATCTCTGATTCATTTAATCTTGCCCTGATATTGAATCCCAGAGAAAAAAACATTAGCAGACTCACTAAAATGTCAGATTAAGCAAATTATTCTAATATTTCATGCAACCCTTTTATTATTTCTTTTTGGTACCTAGGGCATATCTTAAAGCAGCCTTTGCAACATGGTGCCGCCCATATGTGCTGTGCTGTAGCAACACAGCAATAAAATACAAATTATATGTCAAGGCAAACAAGACTTGATGCCAAAGTTAAAGAAAACCATCTTCTCATAATTATGTTAATTATAATCTTATCTACTAACACTATAACAACACTGGGAAAAAAATGGAAAATCCTAAGAAATTGTGCAGCCAGATAATAGTCTATACTGAAATTAATTCTTCTTGATGTTCCTTGCCTTCTTAGCTTCCAGTTAGGCAATCTGACATCCATCAAACCTTTTATTTTGTCTGAACGATAAAAACATGTCCACTTAAACGTAACCAAATGGTGCAGAAATATGCGACATCTAGGTTTGCCATATTTTTCTATAGTATTTTTTTCTCTCTCAGCCTAATTGAGGAACTATTAAGAGAAAACAACACACCCACCAACACTGACAGAGCAAGCCAGTGTATATAAGCAGAGTAACCCCACCTCCTTCTAGCACTGATGATGTTGGGTAACAAAACATATCCAAGCAAACAACTAAGCTCAGATAACACTAAGGACTCCATAGTATTAGCTATATGCCATGGCATTGGATCCTATTTACTTAATTAAGTATCTGGCGTTTTCTGTAAGATTACTCAGAGGCAGTCATAAGAGTGAGGGATGTTTATTTAATACAAGAAACCTCCCTACAGGGTCACATGGTATACAAATGGACATGGCTGAATGGAACATCAGGTAGTTACTATTCAAAGAGGCAGTCTTCTTCCACAAACTGTTTCCTTTGTAAAAATCTATGGGAAGATATTTATTTGCCCAGAAGCAATCCTTAAATGGGGAAAGATAACTGCTACATATGCCTAATATTTATTCTATTTCTGCTGGAATTAACAGGACTTTACATATCAATTGACCTGAAACTGCTCTTAAAGGAATATCTGAACTTTTGATAAGGTTAATACATATCTTTTTATAGAGATAAGGCTGTTAGCAATGGGAAAAACATAAATATTTGATCTGCTGCTTAATCAGTCTCCTCTTAATGCAAATAGGAAATATATCACATTAAGTTATGAAATATAAAGAAATGTTACATCTATTTGAAATTTTACGTACAGAACTAAGCTACATACCAAATCCAAATTATTTAACATTCTGATTTCCCCAAAATCCACTCTTTCCATTTTTATGTGAACAATTCTTTAGTTAAGGATATCACTTGATGTATTTGAAATGCTTGCAGCAAGTAGATTCATCCTTTGTTAACATTTACAGTAGTATGAAGAACAAAACGAGCAGTGCCTTCATTTGCTAGCCACGCCAAATCAAAATTCAACTAAATGTAAGCCCAGTAAACGCTTAATTAAGCTGATAATAGAATTCGGAGAATAAACTTACATTAATATCATTATAAATATATTTTTTGTATTGAACTAACCCTGTATCAAGAATAAAATTCATTTGGACATTCAGAAATACAGTATAACCCAAGCATATACAAAATACCTGACTATAATGAAATTCAAGAAACACAAGAACCTTGTACAATTGGACTTTCTAACACAGACTCTCAAACAGAACTGCTTAATTTGTACTATAGTCCGCCGACTCACTATTTGTCATTTAATAAATATGAAATAAATATGAGCCAGCAGTGTGCGGCAGCAGCCAAGAAAGCGAATAAAATCCTTGGCTATATACATAGAAATATAGAATCAAAATCAATGAAGTATTACCCTGTTTCCCCCAAAATATGACCTACCCTGAAAGTAAGTCCTGGCTTGATTTTTACATGTGCGCCCAATATAAAACCTACTCCCAAAATAAGCCCAAATTAAGATCCCGCCCACTCCAGAGTAGATGAGTAAAAATTAAGCTTGGGTGGGGATGGGGGTGGAGCTGCCCTACTACTTACCTTTGGACAGTTGTAGCCAGGCCTCACATACGCCGACACCTGCCTTGCCGGCCCACTTCTTCTGCAGCCGGCAAGGCTGGCAAGCCTTTCCTGAAGGCCTCTGTAGCTGATAACAAAGCTCTGGATTGATCTGGAGCTTTGTTATCTGCTGCACTGGACTTCAGGAAAGCCTTGCTGGCCATAGAAGACATTCTTGAAGGCCTCTAACAGTGAAAAGGAGGCCGGGGTGACACACACAAGTGAGTTTATCAGTGGATGAAATCCCCTGAAAATAAGAACAGGTACCTTTTTTGGTGGCAAAAAAATATAACATAGGGTCCTATTTTTAGGGAAACACTTTATAAAACACTTTATAAAACCTCAGTAAAACCACACCTGGAATATTGCATCCAGTTTTGGTCACCACATTACAAAAAAGATGTTAAGAGTGTAGAAAAAGTACAGATAAGAGCAACTACGATGATTAAAGACAGTGGTGGGATTCAATTTTTTTTTACTATTGGTTCTGTGGGCGTGGCTTCATGGGCGTGGCAGGGGAAGGATACTGTAAAATCCTATTCCCTCCCCACCACACTAACCTGCTTTCCAGCTCCGTTCTCCTCTGCAGGGCCACTAAAGAAGACCCAGCTGATCAGCTGGGACTTGGGAGGCAGAGAATAGATGGAGGCAGGCGCAGTTAGAGGTGATATTTGCCAGTTCTCCGAACTACTCAAAATTTCCGCTACCGGTTCTCCAGAACTGGTCAGAACCTGCTGGATACCACCTCTGATTAAAGACTTGGAGACTAAAATATATGAAGAATGGTTGCAGGAACTGGGTATGGCTAGTCTAGAGAAAAGAAGTACTAGAGGGTGACATGATAGCAATATTCCACTATTTGGGAGACTACCCAAAGAAGAGGGGGTCAGCTTTTTTCCAAAATACCAGAAGGCAATGGATGGAAACTAATCAAGGAGAAAGGTAGCCTGGAATTAAGGAGAAACTCCAATGAGAACAATTAACCAGTGGAACAGCTTGCCTTCAGAAGTTGTAGGTGCTTCATCACTGGAGGTTTTTAGGAAGAGCCTGGACAGCCACTTGTCTGGAATGGTAGAGGATCTCCTTGAGCAGGGGGTTGGACTAGAAGACCTCCAAGGTCCCTTCTATTCTGATTACTATTAAAGCACTGTAACAAACTTTCTGCATGTACAAAGTTAACATACATGAATGGCATTTTATCATTGAAAGAATTAAGAGAGTTGAGCATCTGCTTGGGATGTTTCAATCTGGATTCTGCCCTGATTTTAGGATGAGTTTCTGTTTATACAGTTGTATATCCTAGCAGACACATTTTATTTCATACATGTTTTTTACATGCCAATAAACTGGTGCAACTTTCCATTTACCTGTAGCTTATACATTTAAGCACTGGCTGTTTTAGAGAAAGATGAAGCATTTTCTCTTACCTGGAACCCCAGTATTACTGTCCTCAGCACCGGTTTCAGAAGATCCTTCACCATTTTCATTAGTAGCAACTGGTCCATAACCTTCAGGAGGGAGAGTCACAGTGTATATTTTTTTTGAAGGTAGAATCACACTTGTCTTGTCTAGAAGAGAATAAATAGGAAATTGAGGTGCAAAAGACTTGCCAGAGCTTGTACCAGGGCTATGCAGTGAACCGGTTTGTAAGAACAAAGTGCAAGTAGCCACACTTGCTCAACAACTTGCTAAAGAACCCTCTGTGTCTGTTCCTTGTAAGTAGCCTAGTCTGCCAGGAAACAGAATCCACAAGGACTACTGGAACTCCATCTTATTATTGCAGGTATAACAACAGAATCGTAAAAGCCTGGCATTCTTGCTTGTCCATCTTATGCCAAATAGAATTAAGGGAAGGCAACCTTGAGTTTCTTCCTCCACCGGTCTTCTTTGTTAGGTCTAAATGATATTGATGCAACCAATGCTGTATTCTTCCTTCAAGGTTATGTCTGATCTCCTTTATACCATGTGGCTGTCACTGTACCCTAACAGAAAAAGACCTCTTTGATGTAAAGAGAAGCTGGCAGGTCACACATATATGCCATACATGTTCTAAATCTCCTCCTCTTTGAGTCTACATTGCACTCTATAGGCAACTCCCACATAGCCTTACCATGTATGCCCATGTGTGCAGAGACAGCTGTGGATAACTTATGAAGTAGCTTCACAAGCCTGGAAATATATGTAGCTGATTTAATGCTTCGAACAATAGTACTTTGTATGCATCGTTGAACATTTAGAGACATCTGTAAGGATTTGTAGACACAGTCCTACAAATACAGCCATTATGGCTGTTTTAGTGTGTATATACTAAAACTTTGTTGCTTATCACTATTGTTGTATTTATATTGAGAGCTTACACACCGGAAACAAATTCCTTGTGTGTCAAATCACACTTGGCCAATAAAGAATTCTATTCTGTTCTGTTCTGTTCTGTTCAGTTCCATTCCGTCCCGTTCCGTCCCATCCCGTCCCAGCCCATCCTATTCTATTCTATATAAATAAAACCATCAGATATACTTTTATCAATCGCATTACCCGATCTTCAGCCAACTTGCACTGGATTAGTGATTTCCCTGATATTTGACAATGCTAGAGTTTACACTGAAAGCCACTGGGGTCTAGGGATTAAGGTGCTACTTTAGGAACACAAAAAGCTGAGTGGTAGTCCTGCCTTAAGCACAAAAAGACATCTTGGCAATTCTTAAGCCATTAATTCTTTATTAGCGCTACGTAATGGCAAATGATTTTTGAAAATGTGTAGGGATCTGCAAAGAGTTTTCCATGTGACTATCAGGATTTAAGATTGACTCAATTCCACCCTTTCAAAATTTAAACTGCTGCCCTGCGATGATCTGTAGAATAAATTCATTAAAAAGCAGAATAATTCTCACAGAGTAGAACAGGAATCAGAAAAAATATTGTTCATAAGCAACTATATGGTATTGCTAAAAACCTTTGGAAAAACCTTAATAGAACTTGACTATACTTGCCAATGCAATAATGGTATTACCTTGATTTTCAATAAGAGAAATTTAACACACACTAATGAACTATCCTCATATGTATTATTGTAACACAGGGCTACTGTGTCCACTGATTTTTTAGAAAGAAAAATATGGATGTTCCTGGACATAGATCCCATTTCTAAGATTACTAAGTATTATTTCAGCCAATTTTCTTGCACACATGAAAAGAAATCAGAGCATACCATGAGAAACAGAGGCTCTTCTTGACTTTTTTTAAAAAAACAAGCTCCAACCAATTTTCTCCAAATACCTTTAATTACTAATGGAAAATATTCTCTTGTTAGAGGTCGAAGAGAACAGAGAAAAATAATGCAGTAAGATGCAACTGATTAATCATGCAATCTGAAAAGACAGGCATCAAGCTAAAAATTAATTGAAACTATTCAGGAAATTCATTTCCCCTAAATTCAGGCTCAAACTATCTCAAACTGTCAAGTCCTGAGGTTGATTTCCACAGTTGATTAATAATGAGGTGTTAATCAGTGCTGGAATTAATGAGAATAAATGCGAAAGATTTTTAGGCTGTTAAAAGCTCTTAGACAATATTGGTTTGCTTTTTTTAAAAAAAATGCAACTCTTAGATGTGCTATCTTAATTTCCTGTAAAATTTATTTATTAATGTAAATGCAACAAGTTTTCAGGAGACATCCTGCAACCTTCCAATAGCTTTAGCACAGTTTTCCAAATTAGAATTGGGTGTTCGTACACAGGGGTGAACAGCTTGATGCCTGAGGGCTTCATGCAGCCCTCAAAACCTTGCATAAACTGGAATCAATATGGCCACTTAATAGTTAACTTTATTTTTAAACATATTTACACATCAATTACACTAAGTGTAGTTTCTGCTTGGTCTTGCTTTCTTCAGCTTCCAAAATGTTGAGCTTGCTTGCTATCGTGCTCCAACAGGTTTATAAACCTATTTTATAGGCTTCATTCTTGAAAACATTGTTCCAAATTTCCAAATGTGCCACTGTGGAGGGCAGATCACCCTGCTGTGTCATTTGTACCAGGACAAACTGACCAAGACGTTGCAGTAATATAGCCACGTTCCTGGTTCAGGAAGCATTTCCATGTATCCTGCTTCAAAGAATGCAACATTCTCTGTGAAGGGATGTCACTGAACAGCTTGGTTTCAAGACTAAGCGCCATGATGAGGAAGGGCAAGATCCTTGAAGGTACTCACCCACAGTACCTACAGGAGGTCCTCGATTTACAATTGGTTCACAAAAAGAAAAACCATCAAGAAAAATGGGTGCAGTCACATGACTTGCTTATGGGCACTCATCAATTGGGTAGAATTAGCAAATGTTTGCAGTAAGCATCTCGTGGTCATGTGACCACGATTTAGGATGTTTTTGCTTGAAACCGGGATTTAAGTTTTGTTTTTCCCCCAGCAAAAACTACCCTATAGGAGGTGTTCGCTTAATGACCATGGCATTAATGACCATGGCATTCTCCCGTAAGGAGAATGAGTGCACACAGGGAGACGTAGTGAGAGTGATGTTGAATAACACACGACCAGTACACAGATACACCGAACAGTAAAATGTATGTTTTACTTCCAGTAAACAGTTAAGAAAAGTCCAACGAACAGTCCAAGTCACTCACAGTTAAAACAGTCAGTTTTCAATCCAGGGATAATCCAAATAACAAAGTCCAGTATCATACACAGTTCAGTAAATAAACTCACATCAAACCAAGAATAACGACGATCAGCAACAGTCAATAGGGAAATGCAGGAACCAAAAACAGCAACCATCAGAACATCTAGCAACTAGCAAGTCTCTGGGAAACCAGGTTTCTGGCTCCATCTTAAGGCCGTTTGAGGAACCACACCCAATTACAATTTTAGCATTCCCTTAAAGAGACAGTATTAAAATGTCTATCCTGGTTTATATATTTCCAACCCAACTGTTAGGTGACTTACATTCCTAATAGCATTCATTTAAGACTACCACAAAAAATGGTCTTGAGATCACGCACAGTCATGCAGTAGCTCACTTTACAACTATCATGACTTATGACCAAAATTGTGGGCTCAAATTTGGTCTCAAGTTGAGAACTACCTGTACTATAGGACAGTGGTTTCTCAACATTGGTAACTTTAATAGATGGACTTCAACTCCCAGTATGGTGGCTGGGGAATTCTGGGCACTGAAGTCCATACATCTTAAAGCTACTAAGATTCAGAAAGATTGCAGGAGACTGAAATAATGCACATTGCTCATTAAATTCTCTATTCTAGTATGTATGTGCTGAACGTCTATTGTTTTTTTTTTAAATTCGCAGCAACATATAAATCAGCAAATGAAATTCTGATATGAGGATTGCTCCGTGATTATTCTTTTTTTTTTTTGTCTTTTCTTTTGGAGCATTTGGCAACTCCTGTTTTGATTAGGGGCTCTATTTGCATGTCTACTAGAGTAACAGCAGGAGTAAGTACCAATGCAAAAATTCAAAAGCAGTTTATCAGCAGACCCAGCTCCACCTAGCAAATAATTTCTTGCTGGACCAGATCAAAATAAGAGCCCGCTGCCTGAATTCTCAGCTTATTGATCATGAGGCTCTATGGTGCCTTTTAAGCTTGGTATATGCTGTGCACAACTGAATTTTGCTACATACCAGGTCTGGCAAAGCATCTGAAAGAAATGAGTAGGTGGGCAAACAAAGCCCTTCCTCTAAATGCTTTGCAGAGTCCTATAATCACAAGCAAATCTTTTATTATGGCTGTGAAGCTAAGAAAATACTATACAGAAGTTCATACTCGCAAAATATATATCGTGTTTCTCATATAATAAGGCCGGGTCTTTTTTTTTTCTTTTTTTTTTTTGAGCCCTGAAAAAAATGGCTAGGCTGTCTTTTCGGGGGTGAATTAATTTCTTCCCCCATGCACCCTCGCCTAGAGTACTCCGCAGGCAGCCACGCTTCGCCACCAGTTGTTCCTAACGACCAATCATGGCTGAACGCGGAGGGCTCCCTACTCCCACCAAGTGCCTTTGCTGCAGACCTGGGTATGGTGTTGGTTGCAGGCCGGGTCAGTGGGTGGGTGCTGGCGGTGTGGATGTCCGCCTCAGCAAGGCATGTTAAATCTCACGAACTTCAGCGCCCGCAGCTGCTGCTTCCTCCACCGTTGTTGCTTTCTCTTCGCATTCCTCCACCAGAAGAGTTTCAGCCAGTTCTTGGGCAGGGGAGCCACCTCTGTAGATTCCACAGTTCCTGCCGGCGCTGGCGAGAGACCAGCAGCAGTGCCAGCGGGAACTGTAGAAGTGTTTCAGCTGCTTCTCGGGCGGGGGAGCCTCCTCCGTAGCTTCCACAGTTCCCACTGGCACTGCTGCTGTTTTCTTGCCAGCGGGAACTGTGGAAGCTGCGGAAGCGGCTCCCCTGCCCGAGAAGCGGCTGAAACGCTGCCAGTGGAGGAATGTGAAAGGAAAGCAAGAGCGGTGGAGGAAGCAGCAGCGGCGGGCACTGAAGTTCTCGCAATTTAAAGTGCCCTGCTGAGTGACCTGGTCTGCAACCAGCACCATACCCGGGTCTGCAGCAAA